ATAAGACATACACATATAAGAATTTATAAAGAACTTAGAGGCTTTTAGGATAAGAAATCCTATCCTTAATGAGCTAAAGACTATCTATGTTATTGCTTTTCTCTCTCAACCAAAAGTTAAATCCCTTGAAAGATGTTCTCTCTAAGCTAACACTGACTAAGCTGATCATTGCAAAAAAGACAACACACAGACAGACAAACACAAAAGTAAGGACAAACTAGATAAACAAAACAATTTTGTGTGTATGTACATATATATATATACATATATATACATATATATATATATATATATATATATATATACACACATATATATATATACACACACACTAATTCAAACATAAACTCAATTCAGTATAATAACAAACCAAACATCTTATACATGCCATAACCTAGATAAGACTCATCCGAATTAGGTATGAATGTCGAACTCTCGGTAGTTTGCGCACTTGTATGGTAAACAGTTGGCCCACCCCAAGCACCACACAAGGTTAGTCCATTTCAATTGCCTAGGGCCATGATCAAAGCCTACAGACAAGAACCTTCCGCTACTTTCACCACATGACTCATTCCTCTCTACTTGAGAATGGATGATTGTTAGAGTTTCAAAATAGACCACCAGTTAAAACCTCCATACATTCATACAACAACAACACAAAGTATGACCATGTAACCTCTCCATGAGGATCATGGAATTATGTCCATCAACCATACTTCCAATACATACATAACCTCAAGAATAAAACATTATGTATTTCAATTCATATTTTCCACATAATCATATAATATCATAGATACTTCTACACCATTCTAAAAATCAAATCATAGCTCAACGTTATCATAAAACAAAGAAAGAAATAATCAAAACAAGTTCTGACTAGTCGCTCAGCGCACTAAACTCGTTGTGCGAAAACAAAAACAATGGGTTCTTCTCACTCACCTCTCGCTCAACGAGACTTTCACTCAGCTAGAAGTGTTTTGCTTGCTTAGCGGACATTCTCTCGCTCAGCGAGACTGCATAGTTCTACGACACTGAAATTGCAAAATTTGCACCCCTCAACCACTCATGACCTATTCTATGCATCTTTCTCAACTTCTAACACTCCTAGATTGTATTATGCACTCAAATGGACCTAAACAAATGTGTTTAAACCAACATAAACTCATTTTAAAGTGATTGATCACATGATTTCAATCCAAAATTAACCAAAACCTCACTTTATAAACCCAAATTGAATTATGTTATAGCTTATTTTTAAACAACTTAAGGATTCCAACAAGTCCCAATTGACTTACTAACACCCTCCAAAATGACCATTAGACACAGAACCTATAATTTAAATTCTCACTAGTCCAAACCCCCAAAATCTAGTTCTAAACTAAGCTAAACTCTACCTATCAACCACCAAACACTCTTACATCAAATTTCCTTCATTTGAATACTTAGACAAGTCACAAAACATCTCATAATATACCAAAAATGCCTCAAACAGTTTACAATCCTTCTCTCACAATTTCACTACCTAAAACCCTTTTTCCCTTCACAACACTACCAAAACTCCTAGATTTTCAACTCTTTATTCCATACACTTTACAACACACATTCAAATTAGTAATGCAACATGTTAACATACAAATTCCAAACCAAAATATCATCCAATATACCTCACATCAACATTTCATCACTAAATACTCAATTACATCCAATTAAATAAGTTAAAACTAGCACAAACGCAAAAATGACACCAAATCAGTTTAATACACATATAAACATCAAATTTATACCACAAACATCAATTAAAGAAAATTCTAGCTTCCCTTACCTCTCAAAGACACTGCCCAACTCTAAGAACGCTTCGCCGATTGCAAACGAACAGAGTCCTTAGAACTCTAGATGAACCAAGAACGTGTAGGAGATACATGATTACACATGCAACTGTACAAGATTCCTCTAAAACATATTTGGAAACAATAGAGGAAAAAAGAGTTGAAACTTACTTGTTCTATTGAAGAAACTGATCGAGTAAAAACATATACCTCGTTGTCGTGGTCAATTAGGTACCTTTTAATTGTCAAAGAGATGACTCAAGAGTTAGAACTCTTAGAGAGAATATGGATAAAGGTAGAAAAGTGATTTATAAAGAAATGATACATTTTAAAATAATAAAACTCGTTTATAACAAAACTATTTATAATAAAACCGTTTAATATTAAAATAATCGAGTATCACTATTTTTACACCACCACCACTTCTAACATACCAGTTTTTTTGGGTTTTACAATTATTATCATTCTCCCTTTCTTAGAAAGTAGTTTATTTTATATATTGAAAAAATTAAATGACCTATTTTGGAGAAAAAAAGCTCAAGTGAATCACTTATTAAAATTACTTGACGGGTCCTATGTTTGTTTTAAGGACTTATTTTTACGTATGTGAGTCTATTATATGACATATTATCTAAAGTTATGAAAGTATTTTATGATATATTTATATATTTCAATGAACTCTTCAAAATAATTTTCAAATAATACTTACAACTAGATCAAAATGATTTTATTTATTTTATTTTTAATTATAAAAACTTTATAAATAAAAACTTACATAGTAGCCTCTTATTCATTAAACAATTAATCAATAAACATAAATTAAGTAAAGATAATAAATTCTTAAATTAACATAAGCATGAAATATTACAAGTCTGGAGTTCTTTTTTGAGTTACCAATCATGGCGAATGTGGCGATTCTTGAGCTCAGTAGAAACTGTGCCAAGACAGTGGAAGAAATAGTAAAATTAGAAAGAAAGATCTTTCCAAAACACGAATCACTAGCTTCATTCTTTCACGATGAACTGCAAAAGAAGAACAGTGGATTGCTTTATCTTCACGTGGATGGCGAGCTTGCAGGCTACGTCATGTATTCTTGGCCTTCTTCCCTGTACGCCTCCATCACCAAGCTCGCAGGTTCCAACCCCATTCGTTTTCTTGCTTACATCTATCTCATGAAAGGATGGTTGCATTCAGAAACTGAAATTGGGTCTTTCCAATGCTAGTGTTTGTTTCGTTATCAAGAATTCAAGTCATGCCCATAACTTGTTTGATGAAACTTCCCAACTAAATAATCTGAGCCTTTTCTACTACTTATGAAGAAAAAACTATCGTGGTGTCGTATATCACCCGCAGCTAGTGAAAAGTTTTATGAAAATCAGGCTTAAGTGTCCGAATTGAATAACTAGTGTAATGAACTATAAACGTAACCTTGAAGAAAATTAGTCAAAACCATAGAAAAATAGCCAAAAGCTTTGTTGTAATAACCTAATGACAAATGTTTAATATGATGTTATTTAGCTTTTTATCTTTCTTAATTAAGAAATAAAAAATGATCAACCTGAGCTTTTTGCTATTTTCGTTTTGGTTCAAATTGTAGTCCTTTATTTTTAACGAGTATTGCTGAATCTTAAACCTAAGTAGTATGATATGATATGTTTAATTTGAATCTTTTTGTTATTTGAATATTACTAAAATCCTGTAGCATAGTGTATAGTTATAATGCTATAAGATCATGATATTTTATGTCTTTAATATTATTTTATACTATTTATTATGTAATTATTTTTGTTGAAACTGTTTATTGGCAATATGGGTTTACATTGCTGGGATTGAATCTTCAACTTTTGGTTATTGGCAATATGGGTTTACACATTTTGGTTTATTAGTGAAGGAGCAATATAGGGGACAAGGCCACGGAGAGACTCTGTTGAAAGCAGCAGTTGAGAAATGCAGGACAAGAAAAGTTTCGCGCATAATGCTTCATGTGGATCCCTTGAGGACTCCTGCAGTGAATCTTTACAAGAAATATGGTTTCCTAGTTGACACTTTGATTCAAGGCTACTACTCCTCAGACAGAAATGCTTATAGAATGTACCTGGACTTTGATTCAAGTTAAAGGAAAAACTGAATAAACATTTTATGTACCATCTACAATTCACTCCAAGTGATTTAATTAAAAGAACAAAATTTGTAATGATGATTTTTATTTAAGCACTTGTGAAAGACAAAAGTTCAATAAAGAGGGGTTCGTGGTTTCACTTGTGTATTCCAACCTGAGAATGAATGTCTATGCTGTGAATTTGTCTGTCCTATTGGAACATGCTCTGTCAATGACTGGTAGCGCAAATGTCTAAAGAAGAAACTTTAGAAATATTGATGATTACAAGAGGAACTGCAGAATAATTTTGAAGGGTTTCAAATAACATTTATTTTTTATTTGGGTTTTTTCTGATAATGTATAAAAGAAATAAGTTTTAATATATTTTTAATTTGATTATTCTAGGAAAATAGTAAAAATCAAAATTGTTGCTGCCCAGGATCGAACTGGGGACCTTTAGTGTGTAAGACTAACGTGATAACCACTACACCACAGCAACAACACGTTCATATATATTAGTGTATAATATAAATAAATATGTAATATATTTTTAATTTGATGTTCTACCAAAACAGAAAAAACTAAAATGTTGCTGCCCAGGATCGAACTGGAGACCTTTAGTGTGTAAGACTAACGTGATAACCACTACACCACAGCAACTGGCATACTATTTTTTAAGAAATTATTTATATATATTATAAGTTATAATAATGACGTCATAATAGGCTGTAAACCTCATAGCCATAAAGTAATCTAAAGGAAAAACTTATAACCTCCTTGCTCTCTTCGAATCCGTTAAGCGTACGAGCCCTAGATTTCGATCTAGGGTTTCTTTGCGCTCTAGTTCAATTTTCAATTCTGCTTTCATTGGATTCTGGGGGTTAAGTTGTTCTTACATTATTCCATTTCCCACGAATTAGAAATCACAAAGAAAATGGTGAGGGTGTTGAGAAGCTGCATTCAATCCATATTGAAGCTGGTGAACTCGGTGATTGGGATGGCCGGGTTAGCCATGATTCTGTACTCCGCTTGGATGATTAGGGTTTGGCAGAGGGAGATGGGTGACCTCCCCTTTGGTCACGATTCTGATGATTATCCACCTCCATGGTAAAATATTCATTTTTTCCCTCCATTTTTTTTTTCTATTTATCCTTGTATTAATGAATGAGAAAATTTGGATTTCGATTGACCAGTGAAGATGGATTTCAATATTTTTAATAATGAAATAAAATATTAAAAATTATGATTTGATTTTATGATATTAATGTGTTTTTATTGCTTTTGTACTAAAATGTTGAATGAAAGATAACGTTCTAGGAAACCAAAGGAGTTAATTGTGGAAGAGAGAAATGTTGATTGGGGGAGGCGTTTTTGTCATCATAAAGCTGTTGAATTTTGTTCTTGTCCACTTGCAAGCTCTTAATGGAATTAAGAGAACCGGAAATCAATTATGTATTACCCGGACTTTTGGAGCAGGGTTGGGGTTCTGGCTTAGGATATAAATATATTCAAGGTGTTAAATTGTGGTCACAATAGCAGTTTTGTTATGATTCTTGATATTGTAGAAAAGTTATTGTAGTTGTAGAAACTTCAAGAACCTTAACGTTAGACACAAACCAGTTTTTAAAACCTTAGATTTGTTTCATTGTGAGGAGCACTGGTGGTACAAAAATTTATGTGATACAAATCTTTTTGAAGGGCGTGAATATATATATATATCATATAATATATATATATATATATATGATATATATATATATATATATATATATATAATATATATATATAATATATAATATTTTGTGGGAATTGGGATGTGGGGGAGGAGGATGTTGTCCACATGATTTGCTTATTTTTGTGATCTTTATGGATCGATATACTCAGTATTTCCTGATAGTTTTACTTCCGCTTTACATTTTAATTTTCTGGTCTGTATGATAGATTCTGAAGACATGTTTTTTTTTTCTTATGAAATCAGGTTCATTTACCCGTTCCTTGGCCTTGGAGCGGTGGTTTTGTGTAGTAACTTTTAGGTCATGTAGCTGCGCAAACTGCTAATGGCTGTTGCCTGTATTTGGTATCCTTTTCTTTTAGTCTACCATTATTTTAGTAACAGATACGGCTCTGATGCTACACATGGATATGGCATTTCTTAAAATTTAGGTTGCAAGCATGGGAGTACAAATAACATTTATGTGAAAAATTGTATATATTGTAGCATATCATAAAATAAACTAAAATATAAATGCATCATAAAATTACTCTTACGGTATTTTTGAAGCATTTCTCTACATCTAAATTATAATTTTTTTAATTTTAAGTGCTAAATGCATAGTAAGGAAAAATGTTTTTAATTTAATAAAATAACGAAAGTTAATATTTAGGTAGCTAGCAAACAATTTAAATAATTTTTACTGGCTGAAAGTTTTAATTTTTTTTCACTGAATTTGAGACATACCATTTTAATTTGCTGATGTTAGTTTTTTTATTTTTATTTTTATTTTATTTATTTTAATTGTTATATACAATTTAAGATAAGTATAAATATTTAATAATTTACGTAAGGGAATGTCACCGTTCAATGTGTCATTAATTTCCCTCTACCGAATTAGTATCACTTAGTTTGCACTTTTGGTGATGTTAAACAACCACTATTATGTTTCAGTGCTGAAACTTTTAGTTTTATGCAGTTAGTTGTGTTCAATAGCAAAGCCATCTCATTAAGTGGTCATTAAGCAATGTTAACCTTGACTGCTTACAGTATATGGTGTTTGTGGTTTTGCTTCTCATGCTGGAGGCTGCATTAACTGTTGATGTATTTGTGAATCAGGACTGGGAGAAGGTATTGTTGTCTATAAAAAATAATTTCAATAATGTTTTTGTTAATTCATTGCTTTTATAGTTTAAAGTCTTCTCTTCCTGTGAACATATTGAAGCTGATCCATCTAAACGTGAACATTGGAGTCAGGATTCCCAAAGGACCCCTCTGGGAGTTTTGATCAGTTCAAGAATTTCATCAGATCAAATTACGAGATGTGCAAATGGGTAGGCCTGTTTCTTGTTTCTGTACAGGTAAATCTCTCTCTTCTCTGTCTGTGGCTGTAATAATTTATGATACAATTATTGTTGAAGCATATTATTTACCTATTGCCAAAGTTTCCTACTGATATTCCACTTCCAAGATCATTGCAAGTTTTAAACACAAGTTGTTTTATTAAAGGGTAACTTTGAATTCAGGTTTTCTCAAGATTGTCTAAGTAGCTTCTTTCTCTTATAAAGCATATCGAGAAAACTGTCTCCAATGATTACAGTATACTGAATTCTTTTAAAAAATATTGCTTTCCCAAAGCAAGTTTAGGGAACCATAGTGTGTAAGACTAACATGATAAGCACTACACAGCGGAAACTTTCTTCTTTTGAACACATATCTCTTTCATACGGTCAATAACAGCTTTAATCTGTAATGAAAAGATGGAAAATGAAAATATCAGCTTTCATCATTTCTTTCTAACTGTATCCTGTTTATTGTCCCTTTTATATTTATCTCTTTGGTTCCTCTACTGATAATTTAATGCATATTTTATTATTAGGGATTCTTATAGGTAGTACTCCTGTTGTTGATGAGATCTAAACTGTCATTCTAGGTATATAATTAACATGTAAAACAACTGCCAACTGGTACGAATGTGTATACTCTCTCTAATTCATTTGTTCTGTCAGTAAACTACGTAATCAGCTAGTGACATATTTCTTGTTGCACTTTGTTCATATTTCTACTTGCTTTTGGTTCCAAAATCTGAAGATGGAGTTACATTTGGAATTTGGTTAATGAATGATGCATTGACGGATGGCTGCCTGTGCTGTTAACAAGCAGGGACTCTCTTTACTATTGGCAATGATACTCAAAGCACTAGGACCACATCAATATTATGACAGTGATGATGAATACTCCTGAACAGGTGCCACTCTTGAGATGCTCCACCCTCAATATGTTGTTGTGTGATCCAGGATATGCACATGGAAATGAAACATGGAATAGGGTAAGTGGCAAGGTAAACTAGATTGGAATTCTTTTCTTGATCTTAACTTTCTTATTTGAGTCGTCACGGATTTTCTTTATGATTTAGTTTCACTACTACTCTGTTTAAGTACGTATTATCATGCCCCAGTCTCATTGTTAGGTGGTTTGAATAGGCAAGTTGGCTTATAGACCTGTACAATCGGTGTATACTTGAAAATTTTGAAAGTGATGATGTATTAGATTGAATCTTAGTACTTATGATAGCGATCTCATTTCGTTCATTCATTTTCGGAACCTTTTTTTTTTGGAAATTAGAGCATTAACCTCTACTTATGCTTTAATTGTTGCATTATATTGATTTAATTTTTAATGTTAACACTATTCTGTCATGGTCAAATACATTATGAATCGCTTTATGATTTCATTTAGTCATATTTTATTTGTTTCCTTGTGAGACAAGTTCCTGGTTATTGTTTTACTGTATAGTGGTCAGCATGTTAAATCTTAGCTCTAGCTTTGAACTTCTCTCCATTTAAATGAAAGTTTCCTTCTTTAATCAGTTCAAATAGGTAAGGCCATAGCCTTCAATTTAACCTTGACGTCTGGATCCATGGAAAGTGAGGCAAGCAGTCCTTTTTTATGCCAATTGGTTTAGAAGATGACCTACACGCTGGAGACGGATTAACTATTGAATCAATGGCTATGGGAGAAACAGTGCTTATCGTGAATCCTGGGGACAAATAAACCATTTTCACACAGTGTGAGTAACGTGTGTAATCATATATCATGTCTGTTTATCGTAAATAAAACACAATCTCTTGACAACCCCCTCTATCTTCTGTTAAAAGTATCTACGAAGGTGGATCAATAGATATGAGCAAATATTCTTTTGTTTAAACTGGGTTCTCATCATTCATCCATTGTGGATACAAAATGGAGTTTTGGCGTCCAGTTCATTTACACAAAAACATCATTGGCCCATTTTTTTTCACGCTTTTATCTGTTTAACTTCTTTGACTTGAGATTCCTGAATAAAACTTCATTTCACCACTTGAACAAGGCGAAGAAAATGATATTTTTGCAGGTATCTTTTGCGTTGCTTGTTTTAAAAATGGAAACAGAAAAAAATTGTTTTAAATTTTTGAGACAAAGATCCTTATTTCTGTTTTATTATTAGTGTAATGTAATTAATTAACACCTTTCTTCCAGATTGGCACAATAGCAAATAGACTAATTACAAAATTAAAGAAATTAAAGGATGCTTTTTTATTGATAGTATTTGTGAATGTCTTCCATTAGAGGAATCCGTGGTTTTGTATTATTCCAGTGCTATAAGAAGAATTATATACTTATTCAAGATTCATACTTTATATGGAATACTCAGAAAGAACTAATGACTATAGCCGTTAGAAAGTTGTAATTTTGTTAGGACTAGAAACGCAGTGTAATTTTGTTATTGAGGAATCATAGTTATCTATTTTTATCATCACTGTAACAATGGTAGGAAAAACAATTTATATGAACAGAATTTAATCTTATATAATACAGGTTTATCGGTGAAATTTAATCTCATTAAAGTTACATCCGTTTTTTGAGATATTGTTTTTAAATCTTGTTCTTTACACCTTATTAAATTAATGCATGACTATGAATATTATATAAATTTACATAATATAGTAAACATCACATAAATATAAAATAATAGTTGTTCAATATCACCCAAGATCAATAAAATCGACGACAATCCTACTTATCATTGATCTTAACGAAACGAAACTCACTTAATTGTCGGAACTTGCTTCTAAATAGTGTATGTATATAGTTTTTTATTTTTATAAGTACTTTTGTTTTTGTTATTCTCTTGACCTATTTAGAAGAAAACAACCTTAAATAAAGAAAACAACTAGAGGAAATATAAAGACGACAAAGTAAAAGTAATCTGAACATGGTACACACCTTTAATCCTCCACCTTATGAATCTAAATCTCAATGTGAGCTAAACATTGTTAATATTGGAAATAATCAAAATCCTTCTCAAAGGACAGGTGACTACAGACGTAAGTAACCAAGGTCTAAAAATATCCTTTAGCATTGGTACAGAAAAAGTAGTAGAAGTGAAGGTAACATAGGTAATCTCATTGGTACAGAAATGGATCAGGAAGATATCTGTATACTCTTTTGACTATTTCATGGGACTTCTTCTTGTACCTTCATTCAGTTAAAATCTATATAAAATGAAAAAAAATTAGGTAAGCATACTGACCAAATCATATTTATTGTACTTTATATTTGGTGTCATGCATCATGAAGTCTCTTCAAATGTCTTGTTTCTTCTCTCGTCTTTCTGCTTATGAAGTTTTCATGTCCTTGTTGTGGTGGTATGTTTGCTCTGTTCAACTCGACCTTTTCTTGAATTAATGTTAGTTTTTTTTTCATTCATTCAATTTCATCTTCTTTTTCATTTTATTTGGTATCTTTCATGTATAAACATTTTTGTTAGCTTAGTTAGGTTTAAAATTTTATATTTATTTCGTTTGAAATTTATATATATTTTTATTATGTTTTGCATATATTAAATTTTGAAATTTGGTTTAGAAAATTCACTAAATTTCAAAATTGGTTAAAGAGTTCGTTAAATTTCAAAATCTAATTATGAAAATTACTAAATTTTAAAATTCGATTAAAGAAATTATTAAATTTTAAAATTCGATTAAAAATTTATCAGATTTCAAAATTCAATTAAAGAATTCACCAAATTTTGAAATTAGATGAATACTTCTATCTGTATGGAATTTTGAAATCTGATAATATTTTTCTCATATTTCAAAATTTAGTGAACATTTGTAACCAATTTCAAAATCAGATATTCATTTAATATTTTCTTTTCTACTTTTTTATTTTGTTTACTTGTTTTTTTTTTAGTAATTTCTTCGAACGTTGGTGCTATGAAGAAATATGCTAGAGTAGCAACAAAGCTGTGGTGCACTCGGAGAGCAAAGAAGAGCTGGAGGTGCGGCGTTAGATTAAAGAAGTGTGAGTAAAAATGGATAGGTGGAGTAGTTATAATAAGAAAAAAAAAATTTACCAGTAGTTTTGGCATTAAAAGAAAGTTTAGGTGGGTACAAAGAACCCCGTTTCACGTGAGTTTTATCACACCATATAGGTTTAATGTTTCAATAGGTTCCTATTTTTGTTCAGAATTTGAAATAGGTCATCTTTATTTTTTTGGCGTCTCAAGTGGGTTCTTTATTTTTGTTAATTTGAGCAAATAAATCCTTTCCGTCATTTCATCAAACGGCGTTAATGAATTTGTGACGTGACCTGAGGACAGTATTGACACGTGTAAGGCACGTCACACATTCATTAACGCCGGTTGATGAAATTGGACGGAAAGGTTTATTTGCATCAAATTACAAAAATAAGGACCCAATTGAGACGCCAAAAAATAAAGGGACCTATTTCAAATTCTGAACAAAAACAGGAACCTATTGAGACATTAAACCCACCATATATTGGTTGAAGAAGTTATATATTTAATATTATTAAGTGCGAAGCGTATTTTATATATATATTATATTGAAATTACTATTAATTTGTTTTATTTTTATATGTACTTTTTTTAGTTGGAATAAATTGGACATAATGCATATAATTGTTTTAATTTTGTATTTTTGAGTTTGTCTAATATTTAATATAAGAAAGGACTTTGGTGGATTATTGTTAGTTTCTCGGATCGTCGAGATGATTTTTCTTCTGGAATGATTTGAATTTCTGATTTTGTCTTAATGAGTTTAGATGCATGAACATTCATGATTTGAATTTTTGATTTTGTCTTAATGGGTTTAGATGCATGAACATTCAATGTTGGTTTTACTAACATTTGATCACTAGTTTTTTTCTTTTTAAGCGTTGACTCTTGGCTAGCAGTCTTGCTAATTAGTTTTTTTCTTTTGTTTGAAGAGGCTACTTGTTTCTTCAACTACTTGTTGACAAATTTGTCATTGGAATTTGATTGTTCCTTAGGATTTTGTTTCTCAGTTGATAGTAATTTCAGTCTCTTTACTTTTCCTGTCATAGAGGATTCTAGTTGTGGGAGCTTAATGATTGTTCCACTTTTCATATGTTGAATTTGTTGTATCAATGGAAGTGCGGGAGCGTTGGAAACTATTTCGATGGATGAAGTTGGAGATCGTTGAGTCTCAGCCAGTTGTTTTACATGTTGTCTGGCTAATCTCTACCCCTCATATCCTCTTAAGGCCTCACGAACCTTCAGGCCTCTTTCAACCTCATGAAGCCCTCTACGAAACTATTTCATCGAGAGTGTTTCTTTTTGTTCAATGTTCAAATGGGGAGGTGTTGGTTTATTTTTCCTTTCTGTGGCTATTTTTTTTCTTCTAGTGATACCAAGTGAAGTACCTGTAAAACACTAGAAGGGAGAGTGGTTGATTTATCATGAATTGGGTAAATATATCTTTCAACTCACTTATCTCTCTCCTTTATTGTTGGAGTTCATCTTTAATATGCATGCCCTCTTGGCTATCCCTCACACTACCACGTATACTAGAATGATGTGAGTGTTCACTAATGTTGTAAAGTAAAAAGTAGTTCACAAAGGTTTTGAAAGAACTTTACAACTATGAATGGAAAAGGTTTTCACAAATGAAGTTTTCTTTTCGGATTGAGGATTTCTAGAAAGAAACAAAGAGTAAGGATGTTCCATGTAGCTCCCAGGAAGAAGAGGTGGGTCACAATGGACAAGCTTAGAAACCAAGTCCTTCCTAAACAACTTTTTCTTAAATTATCCTTACCTAAGCTTCTAGGTAAAAATATTCCAATGTATCAAATACAAATGCAAGAATGCTCTTAAACCAAAGAAAGGTTTATCTTAGATGCTACAAACACACCTATATATCACAAAGACCTAAAATCAAAGAAAAGAATAAAAGGAAAGTAAATGGAATGTAAAGAGGCTAGACGACCCCATGTGAAAGTGCAAGTAACACTTTGGAACCCTTTGACACACTTTCACTTTTAAACTGGAAATTAAGCTATTGCATAAATTTAGCTATGGATATGGGATTGCAACAAAGGCATTTTCCCAAGACACTAAGCAAAGAAACAAATGAACAAAGATTACAAACCAAGAAACTAAATACAAAGTTTCTATGATACAAAAGTAACAATAGAAATGTGCAAATGCTTTTTTTCTTACTTCTCAAGTGTTTGTCCTATCCTTGTGTTCTCCCAAATACGG